CTTCAGATATATGTTCATATTTTAAATTCATAGAAACAAAAACACTAAAAAATTTTACATAAACAATTTAATTTGCAGATAGCAGGACCATGGACAAATTTTATCTTTTATTTTGATTTCTGCTTATGTTTTTAGAAAGTTATCTGTATAAAACAGACAACTGCTGCCAGGCGCAGTGGCACATGACAGTAGTCCCATATACTTGGGAGGCTAAAGTGGGAAGATTGTGTGAGCCCAGTAGTTTGATGTTGCAGAGAGCTATCCTCTTGCCACTAAACTGGCTGACAGAATAAAACCGTTTCTTAAGAAAAAAAAAAAAATGCAAATGCTAATACACGCTTAATTCAAGATACAGCAAAAGGGGAAAAAAAATATCTTGACAGACCGTTAAAAATGATGAAACCTTACCTTAGTTGAACTTTGTAGATCATTAATGGAATCAGGGATCTCAGTAACAGTGTAATCTGAAATCAGCTTAGCTGAAACCAAGTCCTGTAGCATCAGACCTTTAAGAGACACAGAGGAAGGTCACTCGCATTCTGCTCTCAGCACACCTGCTAATACATCTCACTGTGCTGACCGCACGCAGTCCTGCAGTGGACAGTAACCATAGGGGTTGCTGTCTCAGTGATTCCTGACCCCAAAACTACTGGACCATCCTCAGACCCAGGGCCTCCACCCATTTTTAAACAATGCTGCTTCATAAACGAGACTTCCTTCACAAACCATCTTCCACTTCCTTCTCAACGGCGTCCCCTCCTGGGCTAGGCACAAGAACCACCAGAGGAAGTGCAGGCTGGAAGGGCTTGGCCTGCAGGAGCTGCTTGAGCTGCAGTAAGGCCGACAGCCAGTACACGTCCTCCTCTGCCACGTCCTCACTCTTCATTTTGGGGGGAAGCAGCAGCATGAGCCCACTGGCTCCCAGGAGGTCCTTCTGTGTCTCCACAGCATCGATGGCACCATCACTGAGGGCGCCATGGGCCACCTGCAACAGCATCAAGATCATCAGGAGAGACGCACCATGGGACGCATCAGCAGTGACTGATCTACCCCGGAGCAAGTGCAGTCGAAGCTCTCCATGCACTAAATATTGACTGTACTCCAGACAGGCCTCCAAGGGCACGGCTGGGCATACCCTGTAGTTATCTGACTTCCTGTAGTTATTTTAATTCCTGACCCGTTTCCCTAAATCCAACGGTTAGCAAAGACTCCCCCCAACCTTTTTTTTTTTTTTTCTTCTTGAGAAGGGGTCTTGTTATGTTGCCCAGGCTGGTCTTGAACTCCTGGGCTCAAGCAGTCCTCCTGGTTCAGCCTCCTGAGTAGCTGAGATTATAGGTGTGTGGAGCCACCATGCCCAGCTTCAGAATCCCTTTTTAAAGGAAATGTCAAATAACATTGTTTCTTCATATATTCAGAGGACAGTCACACTAGAAAAATAATTTCTATATCTGTCCTTCAGATATAAGACGTGTTATATATATAAATTATATATATATATAATATTTTTTTTTTTTTTTTGAAGACGGAGTCTCCGCTCTGTCGCCCAGGCTGGAGTGCAGTGGCCCAGATCTCAGCTCACTGCAAGCTCCGCCTCCCGGTTTACGCCATTCTCCTGCCTCAGCCTCCCCGAGTAGCTGGGACTACAGGCACCCGCCACCTGCGCCGGCTAGTTTTTTGTATTTTTAGTAGAGACGGGTTTCACTGTGTTAGCCAGGATGGTCTCGATCTACGCGGACCTCAGTGAATCCGCCCGTCTCGCGCTCCCAAAGGCTGGATTACAGGCTTGAAGGCCACTGCGGCGCCGGCCAGACGTGTTTATATTTTATTTAACTTTTTATTTTTTGAGACTGAGTCTCGCTCTGTCACCCAGGCTGGTTTGCAGTGGCACGATCTCAGCTCCCTGCAACCTCCACCTCCTGGGTTCAAGCGATTCTCCTGCCTCACCCTCCCTAGTAGCTGAGATTACAGGGGCCCACTACCACGCCCAGCTAATTTTTGTATTGTTAATGGAGACGGGGTTTCACCATGTTGGCCTGGCTGGTCTAGAACTCCTGACCTCAAGTGATCAGCCTGCCTCAGCCTCCCCAAGTGCTGGGATTATAGGCGTCAGCCACCGCACCCACCCCATGTTCATATTTTAAATTCACAGCAACAAAAATGAGAATTAATGCAACAGAATTAGTGCAAGAAACAGCCAGGTCAACAGGTAATTTAGCCCCCAGCTACAATTGTGTTTGACCATATTACTATAATTTTAATTAACCTTAAACAGGTATAAAAACAGTTAAAGCTAGGCACAGTGGCTCATGACTGTAATCCCAGCACCTGGGGAGGCCAAGGCAGGAGAACTGTTTAAGGCCAAGAGCCAAGAATTCAAGACCAACCTAGGCAACACAGCAAGATCCCATTTCTACAAAAATAAACAAAAATATAAGCCCATAATAATAGAAAGAGGGAAGGCACGCCAGCAGCAGATGAGGGATTCTGATACATTTCTAGAAAGCAGCAAATAGATGTGACCAATCCCTGTGTTAGGGAAGCAGAGGATGCCATACCTAAAGGCTGCAGGTGTCAGTGTGTAAGGAGTCAGGTTGACTAAGCCTGCAAAAGCCCTGTATACCCAGGCCCTGAAGACACCAGGAGCCAAAGGTGAAATTCAGAGCCTGGCCCTATTGGCACCCACCACTGCAGGCAACCTCTATGCACAACCAGTCCCCCTGGGCCCCTGAACAGGAGTCCTGAGAGGACCCAGATGTAGGGCCATGGTCAAGCACAGTGGAAGAGACTCAGCACCAAACCACTCCTGACCCTACCCTGAGAATACCAGCAGCTCCCCAGAAAGCAGATGGCACAAGTCCTTTCCAGAAAAACTGAAGTCTAGGGAACAGACATCCAGATCCAGACATTTGGGAGTCCCTCCAAAAAGGCTGGCTTGCCATTTAGCTACCTTCCACCCCGCCCCAAACATAGAACTTCTTGGCTAGCCTTTTAGGGCCTCACTCAGATATAGACAGACAGCCTTGGGTAAGGCATATAAGGAGGGCCTCCAACATAAAAGAGAGAAACTGGAATAACAAAGAGGAAAAAAAAAGAGGAACCAGGTAATACATGAACCAAAGAAAACTTACACCCCAAAAACCCTAATTTCCTCGGGAAGATAAAATGATGCATCCAAAAAATAAGATGCTATGGAAAAGTCATGATAAGAATAAAGAGGAAATAAGTAATACACATGGAATAAAAAATTCAGTAGGATAACAGGAAAATAAAGTCAAGGAAATCTTTTAGATCACAGTAGGAAGAGATGAGATTGAAAATAGAACAGAAAGGGTAAGAAACTCAGAGGATCAATTGAGGTCTAACATCTATCTAATAGAAGCTCAAGAGAGAACAGAAAAAAGACAGTGTCATAAAGACATGAAAATGTCCCAGAAGTGAAACAGGAGTCTCTAGCCTGAAAGAACCTGCTAAGCCCTGCACAGTGAGTTAAGGTAGTCCAGTGCCAGGCATAACAAAGTGAATCTTCAGGACGCCATGAACAGAGAGAAAAGCCTTCCATAGAGCAACAAAACCAGGCCACACAGAAAGGAACAGGAATAGTACAGCAACAGTGGATGCTAGGTGACAGTGGAACAAAACTGGAAGGAAAATAATTTTATTTTTTTAATTGAGACGGGGTCTCCCTCTGTCATCAACGCTGGAGTGCAATAGCGCGATCATGGCTCACTGCAGCCTCGAACTCCCAGGTTCAAGCAATCTTCACACCTCAGCTTCCCAAGCTACTAGAACTACAGGTACACACCACCATGCCCAGCTAATTTTTGTATTTTTTATAGGCAGGGTTTCACCGTGTTGCCCAGGCTGGTCTCGAACTTCTGCACTCACAACAATCCGCTCACCTCGGCCTCCCAAAGTGCTGGGATTACAGGCATAAGCCACTATGCGTGGCCAGGAAAATAATTTTCTACCTATAATTTTACAAATGTAGCTAAACTATGAAGCAAATGTCAAAATAAATGCATTTTCTTTTTATTTCCCCCAGCCTAAGGCATTTTGTGAATAAAATCATTTTCATAATGGAAAGTACTAAGAAAATTCCCCTCCCATGACATATACCATCCAACAAGGGGCTGAACCAAGAAAAAATACTGCAGCAGCTGCTGCTAATGGCAACACCGAGCAAGCACCTGGCCTGTGCCAGACACTATCCTACGCAGTCTGTGTGTGCACTGACTTTATCCACAAGAGCCAGATGAGCATCTCCACCAGACAGCACCTGCACAGGCTTGGGTAGTTTATTTTACCATCTCTGAGTAAAATAGGAATAAGAAGTAACAGTACCCACACACAGGTGGCAGAGACACTAGGGAACTTGCCCAAGGTCACAGAGCTTCCAGGTGGAGGAGCAGGGACATGTGCTCATAATGACGGCACTAACGCACATGCTGCCTGGAGACCAGCCCACAGATGAGGGTTCCCGGACAGAGGGAACATGGATCAGGTGAAGTGATAGAACATTTGGAAAACTCTACTGAGATATATACAGCCCCCCAGTAAAAATGAAAGAGATAAAGAGAACTATGTTAAGTGAGACAATAAGGCAACTCTGTTTCTTGCAGGAAAAAAATAATTGTGGTTATAGAACACTACTGGTTCTGAGCTAAACAGCAGTCACAGAGCCATCAAAATATGACCCCACTCACTGGAGTAATACAAAGTGATAGTGTAGCTATCCCGGGAAGATGTGGAAGGCTGAGCAGGACCATGGCACAAGAGGCCACGCTGTACCTAGGGTGGTATGCTGCCGCCAAGAGGGTCCCCTGATTCCACCTAGTGTTCATGGCCACGTGTGATCTCCTGCCCCGTGAGCCGGGCCTAGCCACTCACTTCTGACAGGCAGAAGCCAACAAGCAACAGGATGTCACTTCTAAGTTTAGGTCACAAACACACTCAGACTTCCATCTGGGCTCATCTCTTGCTCACTCTGATGAAAGCCGGCTGGCATGCTGTCAGCTGGGGAGAGGCCCATGTAGCAGGAACTGAGGAAGTCTTTGGCCACATGACACACGCTCACTAGAGTGAGCTGGGAAGTAGATACCCTTCAGTCAAGCTTTCAGATGAGACTGCAATCCTAGCTAACATTTTGATTTCCACCTGTGAGAAACCTTCAGCCAGAGGACCCAAGCTAAGCTACACCTGGATTCCTGACCCACAGAAACCATGATAACAGACTTATTTTAAGCTGCTATGTTAGGGGTAATTTGTTACTTAGGAATAAGGTAACTAATACATTTACATTAATGGGAAGTCAGCAGAGAACATTTAAATGGATAAACTTAGAAACGGCTGTGTAAGTGCGTAATCTGGAAACATGAGAAAAATGAGGCCCTGAAGAAAGGAGTTAAGAGAGGAAGGAGGAGCTATATCTCATTTTAAATCATGTGGCATTATTTGACTTCTTTTTAAGTACATGGAAGTGCTACTTTCATTAAAAATGAAAATGAAGGTAATAGGAACAGTAAACTAATTTCCAGTAAATGAAATGTGACTTTGTAATCCCAGGAAAAGGGAAGAATTTTGCACCAAGAAGTTACTGTTACCTCAGAATAGCAAGAGCATGGATGGTTCTTATCATCATCTTCATACTTCTTTTACATTTCCTCATTTTTAAAAAGTTTTGTGTACATATTACATTTAGGAAATCCAATATATAGTATTAAAATAGAAAAAGTAAAGAAGCAGGCTGGGCATGGTGCCCCCTGCTAAATCTGACTGGCTTAAAAAAAATAATTTTTTAAAAGACATCTACGGAGACGTATAATACTTGCTTCTGAGCCTCCCGCAGTCTTTCAAAACCACATTAGGGAATAAGCAGTATTTGCATGGTTCCAGTGATATCTGGGAGTAAGTGAAAGTAATGAAAACACAGAAGTAAACACAAAGTAATTATAGTTCACCTTTATACACACGTTAACAGAAATCATCTGATCCCCTTTGCTGCTAAGCGAGTTGAAAAGCGAAAGCGTCTGAATCCCACCAGCATCGCTGGATGTGTCATCCACTGAGCCTTCATCTCCCATGAACTTGACTTTTAACCAATTTGCCAGAATTCTACAGATTTAAAAAAAATAACAACAATAAAACACTTTGAAGAATCTAACTCTAAATTTGAATTATAAAGACTTTCAGGAAAAGAAGAGAAATATCACACAGACCTACGTCCATAGATACCAAATCTTACTATGCAGCTGACTTGCACAAAACAGGCTGTCATTTTAAAATGGAGCAACGATCTTTTACTTTTTTTTTTTTTTTTTGAGACAGAGTCTCGCTCTGTCGCCCAAGCTAGAGTGCAGTGGCACAAACTTAGCTCACTGCAGCAAGCAAACCTCCTGCCTCAGCCTTCTCAGTAGCTGAGACTACAGGCATGGGCCACCATGCCCACCTAATTTTTCCATTTTTTTATAGTGTCTCACTCAGTTTCACTATGTTGCTCATGCTGGCTTCAAACTCCTGGGCTCAAGCAATCCTCCCTCCACAGCCTCCCCAGTTGCTGGGATTACAGGCATGAGCCACTGTGCCCAGCTTCTACTTGTTCTTAATTGGGCAGGAGGAGGGGGCACTCATGGAACTGGCTCATTCTAATGTGACTTAAGATTCTGAAGCATTAAGATTTTCAGCAATAGAAAACATCCCTAGAGTTTGAAATACATGTTTTTTACAGATCAAATTTCTCATACCTGAGACCTTAAGAATTCTTAAGTGACATGAACTTAGCAAATGAGAAGACAGCTATTTTGTTTGAAGAAATGAATCAATAGCTGGGCGTAATGGCTCACGCCTGTAATCCCAGCACTTTGGGAGGCCAAGGCAGGTGGATCACTTGAGCCCAGTTCAAGACCAGCCTGGGCAACATGGCAAAACCCTGTCTCTACAAAAAATATACAAAACTAAGCCGGGCGCGGTGGTGTGTGCCTGTAATCCCAGCTACTTCGGAGGCTGAGGCAGGAAAATTGCTTGAACCTGAGAGGCGAGGGTTGCAGTGAACCAAGATCACGCCACCACACACCAGCCTGGGCGGCAGAGTGAGACTCCATCTCAAAAAAAAAAAAAAGATAATACAGGCTTTCTTTTTAAGTGAAAAGATGTTCTGGAATTAGTAACAGTGATGGTTGCAAAACCCTGTGAATATATCTAAAAATCACTGAAATGTACACTTTAAATGGGCAAAGTTCATGGTATGTGAATAACATTTCAATAAAGCTATTTTAAAAATAAACTGTAAGCTGGGTGTGGTGACTCACGCCTGTAATCCCAAAACCTTGGTAGACTGAAGCACGCAGATTGCTTGAGCCCAGGAGTTCAAGACCAGCCTGGGCAACATAGTGAAACTCCATCTTTCACACACACAAAAAAACATTAACCAGGAATGGTGGCACACGCCTGTAGTTCCAGCTACTTAGGAGGCTGAGGTGAGAAGATCAATTGAGCCCAGGAGGTCGAGGCTGCAGTGAGCTGTTATCACACCGTGCCCTCTAGCCTGGTGATAACAAAGCAAGACCCTGTCTCAAAAAACACAGAGACTGTAGTAGCTTTAAAAACATGACTTCTGTATGCTATTTGGTTCCAGGAAATAAGATCACATCAATTTTTTCTTTTTTAAAATGCCAAAAGTTTAAGGGAAAAAAATGGAACTATAGTAAACAGACTATAAACTATCTTACTGGAGAGTCTAAAATGAAGCAGGTCTATCAATGTACCTTAACACAGCTTGAAATAACAACTTTTAAATGCTTTTGGACTAAGAATGTTGCCAAGTAGTATGGTTTGGATTTGTATCCCCACCCAAATCTCATGTTGAACTGTAATCCCCAGTGTTGGATGAGGGGCTTGGTGGGAGGTGATTATATCATGGCGGTGGAATCCCCCTCGCTGCTCTCATGATAGTGAGCTCTCAGGAGATCTGGTTAAGCGTGTGGCACCTCCCCCTCGCTGTTCTCATGACAGTGAGTTCACGAGATCTGGTTAAGTCTGCAGCATCCGGCCTTGCTGTTCTCATTATAGTGAGCTCTCAGGAGATCTGGTTGTTTAGAAGTGTGTGGCACCTCCCACTTTGCTGTTCTCATGATAGTGAGTTCTCATGAGATCCGGTTAAGCGTGTGGCATCTCCCCCTTCACCTTCTCTTCCTCCTGCTCCGGCCATGTAAGACATGCCTCCCTCCCCTTTGCCTTCTACCATGATTGTGGGTTTCCTGAGGCCTCCCCAGCCATGCTTCCTGTACAGCTGAGCCAATTAAACCTCTTTATAAAGTACCCAGTCTCAGATATTTCTTTAAAGCAGTGTGAGAACGGACTAATACACCAAGTTTATGGAATAAAAATTGAAATAATCAAATCTAAAGTTTCAATTTAAAATCATGAGCAAAATAGACTATAAATCCAAGCATTAAAACATAAACCTACACTTCCGAGTTCCCATCACACATGAGGAATACCCGGCCCTGGCCCACAACTCTGCCCTGCCCACTCCACCTCTTGGAAACCCCACAGGGGAAACCCTTCCTGACCTGCCACGACTCTCTGGGGACTGCTCCTCTCCATCCGGCAGCACCAGCACCAGCTTCCAAAACACATGCTCCTGCCTCCCAGGGAGGTGCTCAGCCACAAGGGACGGCAGGTCCAGAGACGCCCACGCCACATCACTGGGAGGAACAGACCCCCGAGGATTAGCCAGTGTGTGAGGCCCTCGCAGGAGCAGCACACACATCCTATGAGCAGGAAGGGGCAGGCTGGAGGAAAATCAGGATCAGAGGTTGAACTGCAAACTAGAAACCAAGTCTGGAACTCACTGAAGAGACCTCAGTTGGAGATGCATGAGGTGGGCTGCTAGTGTGACAGACTGGGGAACGGGGGGATCACCAGGGGATACGCAGAAGGGTGCGGCATGACAGACCTCAGCAGCTGCTGGTAGAAGTGCTGAACCTTCATCTGGTGAGCCGTCTTGTTTCTGAGCCGCCTCAACCTGCAAAGGAAAGCAGAATGAGTGTTACCACAGGAGCTTAATGAAAAGTACTGGCTAGTGTCCCCTGGGGAATACTCAGGAGACTGAAAAACACATTTTCTGCCAAAGAAACGGGTTAGAGGATTCGTTCATTCCACAAATATCACATTAAGTATCTGCTGTGTGCTGGCTGTGGGAGATTCAACAATAAGACAAAATCCTGCCGTTCAAGAACATAGGCTCTCATGGGGAGAGAACAGCATCTCTAAGTGGCTAGCCTGGCATGTGCGAGGTGTCGGCACTGTGGGCAAATGCTGCCAGGTGGGGCTGGAGCTGGGTGCTTATTGCAGTCTCACTCAGGGTGGTCAGGTGGTATGTGAGCAAAGACCTGAAGGAAACAGGGAGAGCCAGCGTGACAACTTCTGGAAACAGCAGAGGGCATGGCTCTGCCAGGCCACAGCTGGACCTGGCATATTTGGGGAGAGCACTGAGGGCAGCGGGGGAGGGGTTGGGTCCACAGTACAGAGACTCAGGGAGCGCCAGGGACGCCGCGAAGAGGCAATGCCACCGAGAGGCAACGCCGCCTGGCTGAGCTGTCGGAGGATCCCTCTGTTCTGGTGCTGAGGATGCGAGCGGGGCCCATGGTGGAAGCTAGCAGACGGACAGATGCTGCGTCAACATTCCAGCGAGGTGGGGAGAACTGCCATGCCCTCGGTGAGTTCTGAGGGCAGAGCTGAGGATGCTGGGTCTGAGAGATGCAAGCCCAGGTTTGTGCCCTAAGCACAGGAGGACAGGATGGCATCCTATGAGCAGGAAGGGGCAGGGTGGGGGAAAATCAGGTTCAGAGGTTGAACCGTGAACTGGAAACCAAGTCTGGAACTCAGGGAAGAGGCCTCAGTTGGAGATGCATAATGGGGGCTGCCAGTGACAGACAGGGGTGACAGGGCTATCACCAGGGGGTGTGCAGAAGGGAAGGGCAGAGGGCAGAGGTCTGGGCTGAGGGGGCAGAGTGGAGGGCTCAGAGAAGGAGACTGAGGCTGACAAGAGCAGCTACGGAGGGGGGACACAAGAAACCGTGACTCCAGGAGGAGGCCAGGCCACTATGTGAAGGCAGCTGTGGGTGAGAGGAGGCAGCCCCAGCCCTGGCCTCACAGCATGCCTGCAACAGGCTGGGACTGCCACCCACCCACCCTGCCTGCGCGGAACCTGATGGGGCCAAATGAAACCCACAAGACAGTTTTCAGAGGGAACATCCCGTGATGACCAGCAGGGTGACGAGACACGACATGAGGCCCCAGCGGTGTGCCTGCTAGGCCGTCCAGGCTGCCTCCCCAGTCCCCACCCACCACTCACTAGGAGGCCGGGGAGCCCTGAGGCCAGGCAAGAGGGGGCACCTACACGGGTTCTAAATAAAGGCCATGCCCAGCATGGCCAGGAATGCAGGCTGAGGGGGGTCCTGGCATGGCCCTGAGGAGCTGGTTCTGCTCGGGATGACCAGGAGGAGTGGCAGGGAGGACCAGGGCCACACCAAGGGGCCTCAAGAGGGAAATACTGGAGGGTGGAGGTGGAGTCTGGAAGATGCTGCCACAGAAAGAGGGCAGTGTGTGAAAGAGATGGCGGGGAGGAACAGAGGGATGGGGCAGGGATGGGAGGGGGAAGACACAGGCCAGTGTGGACCTCGGGCTCCTCCAACAAGGATGGAAGTGGCAGGTACTTAAACTGGGACGAGCAGGAAAAGAACAGGTGATGCAGAGTCAGACTCAGTCACCAGGATGCTGAGTTGAGTCTTTCAAGCTGAACTCAGAGCTCTGCTTTCCAGTGGAACAAGTCACACGTCCACAACTGTGGGAGACGACCTTCAAAATGCAGCCCTGTGCCTGTCCTTCCTCCAGGCTTCACCTATCTTCACCCTCCAAACACACACATTAATTCAGCTCCTGGTAAAACCAAGTCGGGGCAGGGGAGCCCTGACGAGGCAGGCGGCAGTTGATGCTGACCTGGTGCAGGAGATGCCCAATCTCCCTGCGTGGCCCAGGTCCAGGAGGCCCCTGGCCAGGTTCTCCTCAGCAATGGGGCACTCTGCACTGGGTGCCAGCGCCCTCAGCCGGTCGCTCACGTCCACGCAGCAGGGTGCAGCAGGGAAAGCCCGCATCTGGCGCCTCAGTTTCTTGCGGGCTGCGACAGCTTCCCTCCACCTGGGGACGTGAAAACGTATCATTACAGAGTGTTTTCAGGGTCTTCAAGCTGAGAAACACATTGGAGTCAGAACTCAGGAATGGGGAAGAAGGACATCAACTGAGTGTGGTGAGCAATGCGACTACTGAACGTTGACAGTTAATACTGAATGGGCTTTGGAGGCTGACTTGGCAATACAGATCCAGATCTAAGATACATATACCCAGTCGGGTGCAGTGGCTCACACCCATTATCCCAGCACTTTGGGAGGCCAAGGCAGGTGGACTGCCTGAGCTCAGGAGTTCACGACCAGCCTGCACAACACAGTGAAAGCCCATCTCTACTAAAATACAAAAAATTAGCCAGGCATGGTGGCGGGTGACTGTGGTCCCAGCTACTTGGGAGGCTGAGGGAGAATCACTTGAACCCAGGAGGTGGAGGTTACAGTGAGCCGAGATCACGCCACTGCACTCCAGCCTGGGTGACAGAGCAAGGCTCTGTCTCAAAAAAAAAAACAAAAAAGATATATACACCCCTTGACCCACAGCCACCACTGATAGGAATTTTATCTCTACACACACGTGCCTGTGTGCAAACCGGTGAACTAACTGTCTGTACAACGACAGTCACCGCGACAGTCTTTACCAGAGCTAAAAAGAGAGCCACGGTCAGGCTTGGTGGCTCACGCCTGTAAATCCCAGCACTTTGGGAGGCCGGGGCGGGCAGATCACGAGGTCAGGAGTTCGAGAGCAGCCTGGCCAATATGGTGAAACCCCATCTCTACTAAAAATACAAAAAAACACAAAATTAGCCAAGCATGGTGGCGCATGCCTGTAGTCCCAGCTACTCAGGAGGCTGAGGCAGAAGAATCGCTTAAACCCGGGACGTGGAGGTTGCAGTGAGCCATGATTGCACCACTGCACTACATCCTGGGTGACAGAGTGAGCCCCCGTCTAAAAAAAAAAAAAAAAAAAAGAAAGAGAGCCACATTAAAGTCCATCAACAAAAGACCAGGAAGGTCATTTATAGTACATTCTCGCACTGACCTCAAGACCGCTGGCAACAGGGACAGCTCAGCACGCTGCTACAGCCAGGCCTCCACCTCATATCAGATGGAGCAAAGGAAGGCTCAGAGCAAAGCAGGGATCATGAGCCCATTTGTGCCAACAGCCACAAGAAAGGACAGAAAGTCTCTGGATGGTTTTGCAAGCAGCTGCTGCTCGCACAATGGACAGGGGTCTGCTGTAGAAGGCCAGGAGCTCGAACCAGCCTACAACATGGTGAAACGCCCCATCTCTACTAAAAAATAAAAATTAAGCCAAGGGTGTGGTGGCGCATGCCTGTAGTCCAGCTACTCAGGAAGGCGGAGGAGAAAGGAATCGCTTATTGAACCTGGGAGGCGGAGGTTGCAGTAAACCCAGATCGCGGCACTGCAACTCCAAGTCTGGGAACAACAGAGCGAGACAACTGTCTTTTAAA